GACAAGCAGGGAGCCCGATGCGGGGCTCAATCCCAGGACCCTGGGAACATGACCTGAGCCACCCAGGAGCCCCTCTTTACAGTATTTTATTTAATATTATTATTTCCTTTCTTCGTTTTTATTTATTTTTTGTTTTCACTTATTTTTTTCTTCTGATTTCTTAGAATAGAAGCTGAGGTCATTGACTTGAGATTTTTCTTCTGTGTAATATAGGCTTTGGTGCTATAAATTTCCCCCTAAGTGCTGCTTTAGCTGCCTTTCACAAATTTTAATATGTCATGTTTTCATTTCAGTTTAGTTCAAAATACTTTCTAATTCCTCTTTTGATTTCTTCTTTGATCCATGGGTTATTTAGAAGTGTGATAGTTCAAAATATCTGGAGATTTTCTAGATATCTTTTTGTTACTGATTTCTAAATCATTTCCACTGCAGCCAGAAAATACACTTTGAATCTTCTCAAATTTAATTGAAACTTGTTTTATGGCCCAGAATATAGTCTTTCTTGTTTGGTGTTCTGGGTGCCCTTGGAAAGAATGTGTATTCTGCTGCTGTTTGATAGAGTGCTTTTGTAATGCCACTGGTTATGCCGAGTCAGTTGACAGTGTTGTTCAAGTATTCAAACTTCTGACTATAACTTGTCTATCCTCACAGTTCTATTATCTTTTGCTTCATGTATTTTGAGAGTGTGTTATCTGGTGCATAAGTATTTAGAATTGTTATGTGCTTTTGATGAATTGACCCCTTTATCATAATGAAATGATCCTCTTTGTCCTGGTTGTATTCATTGCTCTGACATATATTTTGTCTGATACTAATATAGCCACCCCAATTTTTTTATTAGTGTTAGTATGGCATATCTTTTTTTATTCTTTTACTTTTAATCTACTTATATCTTTATATTCAAAGTACATTTCTTATAGAGACCAGTTGAGTCTTGCTATTTTACTTAATCAATCTTTGCTTTTTATCTGGATGCTAAGATCATTTACATTTAATGTATTTGTGAAAATAGTTGGTTTAAATTTACCATCCTATTGTTTTCTATTTCTGTCAGATTTGTCTCTTCTAATCTTATTCTCTTTCCCTTTTCTGTCTTCTTTTGGATTAATTTAATATTTTTATTTTTTTTCTAATATATACTGTATTCTTTTTTTAATTTAATTTGGTTTTATTATGTTATGTTAGTCACCATAAAACACATCATTAGTTTTTGATATAGTGATCCATGATTCATTGTTTTTGTATAATACCCAGTGCTTCATGCAGTACATTTAATAATTTTAAAGCATCCATTTTATCTTCTTTTTTGGCGTATTAGCTATACATCTTTTAATATTTTAGTCATTTCTTTTGGGTTTATAGTGTACATCTTTAACATACACAGCCTAACTTAAAGTAATATTATACTATGTATGCTATTTACAGTACAAGAACCTTACAATTCTAGTTTCATATCTTTTCAACAAATAAGCCCAATAAAATGATCATTTCTCCATTTCAGTATCAATTTTTCAATCCCAGAAAGGACTCTAAGTGGCCTTGCTTGGGTTCCATACTCATCCCTGAATAAACAACAATGGACATGGGCATGAATATTTTGCTAAGCCTGAATTCCTGCAGCAGCCCTTCTAGAACTTCATGGAATTGGAAAGGAGCTCACCGGAAGAACCTAAGAAGAGGAATGCAAAAGTGCACTAATTAGACAAAAACTAGAACTATCATAGACCACTACAGGCAAACATATCACATTACAGATTGGCAGGTGGATAATTCACTCACACTTGCTATAAATTCCCAATATATTTTGCCGACAATACTGAACTTGCCCATACAAAGCAGGAACAAATGAAGCATTTCTTTATATGACATTTTCCTGCCCCTTGTCTCCGCCAGGGCACACAGCCACTGGTGACGCTTTGCATATCTGATTCCTGTCAAGCTGAAAAAGAAGCCAAACGCTGCACCACCCTTTTATATTTGACTTTTATCAGCACTCTGGAAAAATTTTTACAAACAATATAAATACTCCTGTGCAGGGCAGTTTCTCAACCTTGAAACTATTGACATTTTGAACCAGATAATTCGTTGCAGGGAGGGGCTGCCCTGTGCATTGTAGGATTTTAGCAGCAACCCTGGACTCTAGCTGCTAGATGTCAGTAACACCTGCCTCCCCAGTTGTGACAATAAAAATTTCTCCAGATAGTGCCAAATGTCCCCCAGGAGAGCAACATTGCTCCTAACTGAGAACCACTGGTTTAAGGGAATGTTTGCAAACATCAAGATCTATAGGTTCTTGACCCCAAATCAACATCAGCTAGTGGGGAAAAAGCAGAATTAACATTAGGTGACATCAACTCCTGTTCCATATCCCTGCAAGCCTATCTGTCCTTAAGGGATGGCGTCTGATGTTCCCCTACTACAAAAACAGCTCCCAGCACCTGGAAAAGAGCAGTGCTCAACCACCACAACCATAGCCAATGTTAAAAGAATAAGTGAATGAGTGGATGGATGGATGGATGAAAAGAAAAATAGAAATTATTCACAGTGTTACTCTGGGGAAAGGAGTGATACAGAGGGTGTATATACATAAGAAAAGGATTTTTACTGTTTCACTAAGAGTTTCTATTTGAGTTTTATCATTTTTACTTGCATGACTTAGAAAATTTTAACTTTTTTATTTTATTTTTAAAGCACTTGGAAATCAAATCAAGCATTTTCTCTTTGGTAACTATCTTTAATTTTCTGGTTTTTGTTGTTTGTTTTTTTGGAAGTACAAATGTGGACTTCAGCCCTAGCTGACCTTTCGAATACTCTATCACCAAGTCTGAAGCTTAATTTTTTTTTTATTTTAACTCATGAGCAAAGAGCCATACTATGAGTATTTGTGAATGGGATTTACGTTGGGAAGAAAATGTACTTAAGGCAAAAGTAACTGACTTGTCATATTCAGTTATGTGCACTGGGCTCGAGGGCAGGGTCTGGGGTACACATCTTGAACCCTATAGAGCTTGGGTAAGTGGAGGCCTTCCAGAATTTTATGCTGGGGAATTTGGTGATGATGAAGCTTCCTAGGCATGATTCTGGTCACTCCTGTTTTGCTTTGTCAAACTCAGATTTTCTGGGCAGAAGGAGAGAAGGGGGTGGTGAGCTAGGTGCAGTGAGCAGCCCCCTGAGGGAGGAACAGGTGTTTTGGCCTTTTTGCTTAAGGCAGGCAGGAGAAGTCAAAGGGCAAAGGAATAGGGCAGGGAGTGTGGAAGGAAAAAAGATAATTTGTGGGGACAGCTGTTGTTTCTCTTTCTCCTGTGCCACCAGCAGGAAGATGGGTCAGATCCTCCCTCTTCAGGGAGAGCAGACCTCCATCCTGCAATGGGAAGCCCAGCAGCATGAAACGGTCCAGTGCCTGCCCCAGGTGACACCCCAGCTCCTGTAGAATTCTGGTCTCTCCACCCCAGACAGAAAGGCCCAGCCTCCTGGGTCTCTTGAGATCTGGGCTCCAGGATCCAAGAGAGCCTGGCCTGCAAAGTGAGGTTATTTATTTACATGAGGCAGGCAATGCACGGAGATGCAGAGCAATCCATCTGCCTTAGCCACCAAACAGATTCCCTTCGCCTCATCCTCTCGCAGAAGCGGTCAAGGTAGGGAGGTTGGGCGAGATGACCTTCCAGAACTGAAACTTTGCTTCTAAAAATAGAAGCATCCTTGGAGAATCAAGGAGGACGGGAGGCTGTGGATGTTGAGGGCAAAACCCGGACTTCCCAGAGCATTGTCAGTATGAAACTGTATTAATTAGATGAAGGCTCCCAGCTCAATAACATTAGGTATCACAGATATTGAAACTAAATGAACTGGCTCCCCCCCCCCCTTCTGGTAACACTCTCCTTGGGCTAAAAAGGAGAAAGAAGACCATGTCTTCTGACCTATTTGAATGGCTGCACACTGCCTGAGGAGATGTCTTCCCCAGCAGAGGGAAACGGGCTCCTTAGGGACACACCAAGAGAAGGCCAGAGCTGCAGTTAAGTGGGAGCCCCTGAGGCCAGCAGCAGGGGGTCACCAACCCATCTCCCTGGGTGGAGCCCGCGCAGGGCTCTGTGTGAGGCTGGGCAGGGCCGGGTGAGTGTCTGCGTGTGTCCACAACTGTGGATGGTGTGTGTGGGTCTGCAGGGCCCTTGTCTAGAGCCAGATGGTAGGGACTAGGTATTTCAGGATCCAGCGGCGCTGTGTGTTGGTCTGCACACATAGTGTGTGACCGGGTTGTGTGCAGTGCTCTGGAGGGTGAAGGGTTGTGTCTGTGTGTGTCCGTATGTGTGTGCATGCACATGTGTGTGTTTTGGGACGAGGTGTCTGCTGGAGTGTACAGAAGTATTATGGCCATCCTGGGGGTGCTGTGTCGGGGAGTGTGTAGGGCTGTAAGGGAAGGAGGCATAGGGATAGTGACTATTTGGAGGACTTTGTGGGCTGATGTAGAGCCTGTGAGAAAAACTCTGGGGGGAAACTCCATAGAAGTGGGGACCTGCTTGAGAGGCCGCAGGAGGCTGCTCAGGGCTGTGTGCAGAGCGTGTCTGGGCTGCTGGTGGGGCTGTGCCGTCCTACAGAGCCCCTCTTGAGGCAGCTTTGTCCTGGGGGCTCTGGGGGATTGTGGTGGCACTATGAATGGAGCCACATGGGGGACTCTGGGAAATAGTTAAGGCTCTGGGGGGTGCATTCAGGGCTGTGGGGACCTGTGTGAGGCTGCGGAGGGCTGGATAGAGGGTGGTAGAAGTCCTGCGTGGCCCCCACAGCCTTGCCATCTGAGTGTGGGCTGTACTTCCTTAGGGGCAGGGGCCCCCAAAGTCCAGGCATCTGTTCTTCTCCGTGTGACTGACATGAAGGGAGAGACAGCAGGGGCTCACAAGAGGAGCAAGAGGAGAAGTGCATCCCTTCTAGAGCTGCCCTGCAGCTGATCCTTATGCACACTGGGCTCAGGACACTTTCTAATGCGTCCCTTTGCGCTTTCTCCACAGGACAATGTGGATCTTGGAGAGTTGATGTTTTCCCTCTGCTATCTTCCAACTGCTGGCAGGCTGACCATTACCATTATAAAAGCAAGGAATTTAAAGGCAATGGACATAACAGGAGCATCAGGTGGGACATTCTCAAATTCAGACTTCTTCATAGGGTTCTAATATAGTACTTTCATGAAGTCTTCGGTAGAGTAATTAGGCACATGGGACCAAACTACCTAGGTTTAATCCCAGTGCTAGACCTCATGGCTGTGTGACCCTGGGCAAGTCCCTTAACCTCTCTGCACTTCGGATTCCCCATCTGTAAGATGAGGGTCATAATAGTATCTGGCTCCTTGGGTTGTTGTAAGTTTAAATGAGTTAATGCCTATAAAATAAGAATAGTACCTGGCACATACTATATGCTACCTAATGTGAATAATCATTATTATTCTCTCTTAGGTCTTCTTCATTTAATAATCATTATTGTTCTCTCTTAGGTCTTCTCACCATAATTGTGAATTTGTCCTACAGTTTACACACGCTGATACAGTTTATCTAACTGAGTCTTTCCTCAGATATAAGCAATCACCATCTCGGGCCTATGGAAGATTGAAAAACAATCTTATATCCTCATAAAAAGCCCATCAGTGAACTATGCAGTTTGGTATTGCCAATGAATCAAGCATGTACACTTAAATTCTAAACTGTAACAAAAACGCCCCAATACGCAGTTCCTACTATACAACCTCTGCTTAAGACACCCAGTCCGCTGGCTATTGATCACAGAAATCAAAGGACACCGGATGCAATAGAGCCTGCTTACTGTCCTCCAGTATTTTTCAAAGAAAAAAAGACGTGGCCCCTTCTGGTCCTCTGAGTTCCTCCTGGACAGTGTACGGGGAGTCAGTGGTTGTGCAGGTGAGGAGAGAGGGAACTCCTCACTGAGCAGAAGGAGAGTGAGGGGGAACCAGAAAAGTCCCACTGGAAGCAGGGACCAGCCTTGTCACCTGTCCCGCTCTGCTAGTGTTATACCACAAGCAAGCCCTTGGACTTTCTTTCCCTGCCATGCTGCTGCAGGCAGCTCTCCCCAAAGTTCTCCCTGTCATCCAGGTGTTCTGCCTGTCCCTTTCCTAAAGACCTGAGGTTTAGGAAGATTCTCTGGGGCGGCTCAGAGTTCGGGGCTGTGGCCTGTTTCCCCTGCCTTGGAATTACCTTGGCGCCTCTCCCTGTTGAAGCCAGGCAGGTCTTGAATCTAGCTGGAATATTTTCTAATTCAATAACAGATGTTTTCACACCCTTTTTAAATTCCACACACTTTGGGGGCGCCTGGGTGGCTCAGTCGTTAAGCGTCTGCCTTCGGCTCAGGTCATGGTCCCAGGGTCCTGGGATCGAGCCCCGCATCGGGCTCCCCGCTCAGCGGGAAGCCTGCCTCTCCCCCCTCCACTCCCCCTGCCTGTGCTCTTCTCTCAATGTGTCTCTCTCTGTCAAATAAATAAATAAAATCTTTTAAAAAAAAAAAAATTCCACACACTTTGAGGAGACAGAGTGCTGTGCTTCTTCTTGAATGAATGTCTTAATTATCCTAACTCTCGTCGCGGCCCAGGCATCGTATTAATTAAAATCCTCAAACTCCAGGCCACAGGCAGGTAAGGGAGTTCTGCCTCCCATTGTCTGTGGAACCCCATCATGATGAAACTGCCCCCTGAACCCACATTTATCCTCACATTCCCCCCGCTTCTCCTGCTTGTACAGATCCCTATGTAAAAGTGTCGCTGATGTGTGATGGCAGACGACTGAAGAAGAGGAAAACATCCACCAAGAGGAACACTCTGAACCCTGTTTACAACGAAGCCATAGTCTTTGATGTCCCTCCCGAGAACATTGACCAAATCCACTTGTCCATAGCTGTCATGGACTACGACCGGTGAGAAGCCTGGAGCGCTCTCTCTCTCTCTCTCTCTCTCTCTCTCTCGGGGCAGGTTGGCCATGCCTGGGGCAGGGAGGGCAGAGGGGGTGCGCGGCCACACATGCTCGGCTGACGGCCCAGGCTGTGGGAAACAAGTCAGGGGAGCTCCCGAGGGAAAGCTGACTGACAGGAGTCGGCATTTTCCACACCATGCTGTAGAGTCCTATTACCCAAGTGCTTCTTTGCTCTCCCCCTTTTCATTTCTTTCTCCTTCCCCATCCTCCCCATCCTCCCCACCTCCTCCCCTCTCCATCCCTGCACACTCCCCAGAATCTCAGCCTGGGAAACTGGGGCCCTGCAGGTCTTAATCTTCTCCCACGCAATCCTGCCTGGCCTTTGTGGGAAGATCCCACTCAAAATAGCAGAGTGATTCCTTTAGCCACACCACCAACATTTCTAAATACATAACTCTGTTATTTTTTTCCCTTCTCCCAATGTGTTTAATAAAGATCATTTCCATCCACTTAAATCTGAAAGCAAACAGAAATGTTCTCTTGAAAATGCTAGAATCAGTATGGATGACAGGGTACATTAAAATGTATAAGATGCTCGACTTTCTAATTAATACAGCACAGAAGAGATATTTATAGCTTGCATTGTGGCCAATTGTGTATTTAAAGGACAGATTTGAAAAACAGTCATTTTAATATGCAAAGGAAGTACCAACAGGGAATTAGACATGTTAAACCAGTCATTAGACTGAAATGCAAAGTCTCTTTTTAATTGGAAACTTCCCATGTGGTCTGGGCACAATTATATAAAAAAAAAAAAAATCATTCTGACTTCGAGTATAATCTTACAAATATTATTTGTAGCTAAGAATTTTCCCATATACCCCTGAAATGTCAGTAGGGCAGCTTCAGCACCCTGAACACTCTTTCTAGCAGATGCCTAGGTCAAGCAGAACCGTCTTCCAGCCCCGGGAACACATGGCTTAGCTCAGTGGCCCATGGGTGTGACAGCCCACGTCAGGCAATAGACCTTATCCTGTCTTCTCCGTAGGAAACACAACACCAATGGTGTCAGCCCACAGGAGGGGCCATTGCCCACCAACCGTGGAAAGCTAGGCCAGCTTTTTTCAAGCGATTGCCAAGTTTCCTGCATCAACAAATCTGATTATATGAGCTCTGCTTCAATTCAATTCTCAGTAAACTCATGAATCTGCCTGGAAAAATCCATGGCAGAATTCATGGGGTTTCTGCATGCAACTGATTTTAATGAGCATAGCCTCGAATATCCTTCACACTCCCCCACCCATGTCTCGCCCTTATTCCCTACATACAAATAGGAGAAAAACCACTCATCTTTGCAGGAAGGAAAAAGAAAGCCCATTAATTTCGATCCCAAACAGTTAAAGGATGGGTCATATCATCACTGACATGAGGAATTCTTAATCTCAGGAAACAAACTGAGGGTTGCTGGAGTGAGGGGTGGGGTGGGAGGGATGGAGTGACTGGGTGATAGACACTGGGGAGGGTATGTGCTCTGGTAAGCACTGTGAATTGTGCAAGACTGTTGAATTTCAGATCTGTACCTCTGAAACAAATAATGCAATATATGTTAAGAAAAAAAAAAGAGAAGAAGATAGCAGGAGGGGAAGAATGAAGGGGGGGAAATCGGAGGGGGAGACAAACCATGAGAGACGATGGACTCTGAAAAACAAACTGAGGGTTCTAGAGGGGAGGGGGGTGGGAGGATGGGTTAGCCTGGTGATGGGTATTAAAGAGGGCACGTTCTGCATGGAGCCCTGGCTGTTATGCACAAACAATGAATCATGGAACACTATATCTAAAACTAATGATGTAATGTATGGTGATTAACATAACAATAAAAAAATTAAAAACAAAAAAGGATGGGTCATATCATTCTAGTTATGCAGATGACATCTAACCAAAAACTACTGAGGGGGAAGAATTGTCCCAAGGTAGGGACGTACTCAGGGAAAATTTCAGAAATATTAGCCCTGAAGTTACAGGAGCTAAGTATCTTTCTATAGAAGGGAAATCAAGTCGGGTCAAAGAAGCAAAGATGGGCTTGGAAGGAAGGAGGGGAGAGCATCAGGATGCATGTTCTCTGAAGAGAGGGATTGCAAGGAGACCCAGGAGCTATCTCCACCCTGCCCCCTTTGTAAGCTCCAGACCACAGCTGCCCTACATGGCGCATCTCTCTTACCCATACTTGGTTGCCTCTTATGGGAATTTGAGCAGCCATAATGCAAGGAACTCCTTTCAGATGGCCTCCTTTTCATTATATAGACTTGAAGACCTGGAGGTCAACCTAGTTCTAGAACCAGAGTTGTCATCCTTAGCATGCATCAGAAACAAGCTAAGCCATGCCAGTGTTACAAAAGCCAAGTTGTGTGATAGCCACACTCCACTCTTCCTTTCTGTGCCCCCAAGTACAATATTGGATCCCAAGTTCTATTAGCTGTTAAGCTTGTCCTGTAGTTTAAATGAGGGAAGGAGAAGAACCACTCTTGCCCTCATTCCTACTAGTTTAATTGAGTAGTTGTTGCTCTTACATACCAAAATTTTAAGAAAAAATTATTGTGGGCCATTTTCACAGTGTAGGTCATAATGAGATCATCGGCGTGTGTCAAGTAGGCAACAAAGCTGAGAGGCTGGGCAGAGACCACTGGAGTGAAATGCTGTCGTATCCTCGGAAGCCCATCGCACACTGGCATTCCCTGGTGGAGGTAAGACCCTATTCCCACATGTTGCACTTCGTGGAAGAATAAATGCTTTGCTGTTGAAAGGCAGGAGCCACCAAAAGTGTGAGTATACCAGGTCTGTGGTCACCAATGGGTTTCTCTGTTTGCCCTTCCTGGAGCTTTTGGAAATTGCGTTCAATCTAAGGTTGAGTCTATGCACCCCACCTGTCTGGTAGGTTTTGAACATTGATCATTCATCCCTCACTTTGTTTCTCTTCAAAAATGATAGAGATTCTCTGATTCCATGTTATGGCTTTGGGTTGATATTTGGAAGGTATCTGCAAGATCTGGATGAATGTGGAGTTTCAGGTTGCCATATGGTGACTTATGTGTGGCATCAGAAAGAGTTCGAGACTGGGAGAGAGGAGGCCCGGATTCCAGGACTGGCTCTAGCATTAACCTGTGATCCTGGACAAGCTGGTTAGTATCAGATTCAATTACATGTGATAAAACAACAACAACAACAACAAATGCAATAGAAATTTATATCTCTCTTACATAAAAAAAAGGTCCAGAAGGAGGCAGTCCAGGGTGTTTTAGTGGCTCTGTGATCAATAGAGACCTAGACTTCTGTCTTTCTGCTTCACTGTCCCCATATGGGTTTGTTTTGTTTTGAGGCCTCACTGAATAACATGGCTGCTAAGCTCCAACCATCACATATCTTCCAGGTCACAGAAAGGTGGAAAGAGACAAAAGCTAAAAGCACACATATTCTCTTTTAAAGGATTTTCCTTGATGTGTCATGCAACGCATCACCCTATGTTTAACTTAGTCACAGAATAGCCACATGGACACATGTGGGAAATGTATTCTTTTGTTGGGTGGAAATATGCCCAACTGAAAACCAGGGTTCTATGTGCAAGGAAGAAGAGAGGAGTGAATATTTGCACACAGTGAGCCATCATTCTGCCTCACACCTTCATTCATTCACTCACCAACCCCCTACCCCATCACTTCTCATTTATGCTTCCCCCATCCATCTTTGTCCATTGACTCACTCTCTTATTTATTTACTAACTCATTCTCTCAAAAACAAATTGCATTCACCAGGTAACATTTGTGAGAGTCAAATGCCATATTAGATAAAGAAAGTAGATGGGAATAGGAAACCTTCCCCCGCAGAGCTTATAGACCACAAGAGAAACAGAAGAAGGCATGCTAACTAATCATTAAAATGCACAGTCATGAGCTTTAACATCCACATCAGGTGCTACTGGAGCACAAAGGAGGGAGTGAGATTGTCTATGAAGCATTCTCCCTCCTGCTCTTGGTAAGTGAAGGGAAGGGAAGGGAGCCCCTGGGAACGGGACTCCCCAAGGAGCATGGGTTCCAGGCAGAGAACTTTGCTGTCATTCTCCCAGCGCAGGCAGCCCTGCCCCGTGCAAAGCCATCCTGAGAGGCCAACACAAGAGCCTCGTCAGTGTGGGATCTGCCGCCACTGAGAGTCCGGAGAGTCAAGTTGAAGCAGACGTGCCGGGCAGCTGTGTAGAGGCAGTGGGCCCGGGGAGGAAGGGACAGTCTCCCTTTGTTGGAGGTGGTGCCAGGAGGAGAAGAGCAGTGCAGGCCTTGTGGACTGATTCTAAGCTTCAGGGCCATTGGGTGTATTCGAGCAGCGCCTAGGGCCCCCTAATTTACAGATTCCTACAGACACCTCTGCCCCTGGGCCATCGAAGCTAGGACTCTTTCTCTCCTGGACTCAAAATTAATCCCTAAGGGAGACCCACAGTCCCTGTGAACCCCCTGAGAAGTAGCTGGGAGACGGATGCTGACCCAGCTGCCCTTGCTTCTTCAGCTCCTGGTAGAGCTCTCAGAGGAGTCCGTGTGGGGCTCATGATACCGCCTGCACCAGCCAGTAACAGTGGCCATCAGAGCAGTTATAATAGGCTTTTTGCACACTTACGAGTCACTGCTGATTTTAATTCTTGCTTGTAATCTGGAGTGTCCCAGAGCTCTCTGCTTCTCAGGACACAGGATGGGGGAAGGGGTGAGGTTTAGGGGTATGGTGTGGGGCTGAGACAGGACCCAATTCGGTGCACAGGCAGCGCCTTCTCAATGCCCTTGCTAGGGAGGAAGGACAGGTGGTGCATTGTCCCAGGAAGGACACTGGGCCCCGAGTGGCAGGGTACGCACGGTACCCAACGGGAAGTGTAAAAAGCACGCCTTGGAAGCTGCCTTCATGGGAGGAAAAAGCGCTGTCTGACTTTGCAAACCTAGGAGATAGTCCCTAAACCCTGAGCACTTGGCTTTTTGCAAATGTGTGTATGACAGCGGTGTGAGTGAGAAATCCATGCTTTTGGGGTTAAAGCACCGAAACTTGGGAGTCGTCTGTCACAGCAGCTGGAATGACCGGCTAGCACCACGGGGGTTTCTCAACTGCTGCAGCGGAACCCCCTGCCCGCGCACCTGTGGGAGGGGCCGGCGAGGGTCTCTCTGCCCCGTGGTGTCCTGTCTCTTCGAAGTACATGCCCAGGACTCCACATCCATCCTGAGAGCAGAAGCCATACTTTCCATCTTAAAAATAAACGTGCAGCTAGCAGAATTGGGGCCCTGGTACCAGATGAGACGAAAAGCAGGACGGGAGAGGTCACCGTGCTTTGCAGACGGCTGTGAGGACAGAGGCGACAGAGCAGAGCCCGTGGGTGGAGGCACTCACTTGGATGGAGCTATGTTGGTATCCCTGTGCTGCCCCTCACAAGTTGTGTGCTTTTCCCTGTCTGAATCTCAGTTTTCTCATCTGCGGAGTGGCCATAACAGTGTCTGTCTCCCAAGGGTGGTTGTGAGGAGTAAACGGTCTGATGGATAGATGGGGAGCACAGTGGCAGGCGCATAAGAAAGATTCTGCGTCATGGTCATGATTGTGTATGTCCCACATTGGGAAGGACTGCCGTGTGTCCTCATGGGACTCTCATCCACAATGTTTGTCATAGAGGATAAAAGGGAGGTTGGAAGTCCCCTATCCCCTGTATTCCGGGGAGCCATCACCTCAGAATGGGGGAAGGGGTCATTTGAGGCATGACTGGACATAGATGCACGTACTTAAGTTCTGTTTCTTCTCCTCTCTTCTTATACTCTCTACGAACTTTTAAATGTTCTGCGTGAAGACAAAAACAGCAGTTAAGTCCCAGTTCTGTGTGTGTGCGTGTGTACATAAGCATGTGTGCATGAATGAATGAGAGAAAGGGAAGAGGAAGAATATGGGGTAGTTAGGATTTAGTATAAAGGGAGGCTGACCTGGCAGAAGCTCCTCACTGCTGGGGGCTGAGGGACCAGGTTAGGACTGAACCCTGAGCCCTGCAGAGATCTGGCAGCCGACTCCAGGCTGCATCCAACACACCCTGACCTTGTCAGGGCAGGTGACAGATGGAGTCTTCAAAGCCAATGAGTTCAAAAATCCATTTCTCTCGCAGCGTTTCTGGATGGCTTCACTGCACACTCAAAGGTCAGCCAATACAGTTCCCATTACTCTCCATGATGTCAAAGCCTTGGGAAGCTGTGCAGACTCCCCCAGAGCTGGCTGCCTGGGGCCTGGGGACAGGAGCAGCCCCTCCATGGGGCCTCAGGAGGTGACGGAGCTCTTGGAGCTCCCACCACAGCCCCCTGTTTGGTATATCCCAGAGAAGATGGTGTTGGCCTGGCCACATCCCAGCACCTTTTCCACCCTCCTGCATGTGGAGCTGGCCTCCATCATGAACCCCAGCAAGAGTAATAAAAATAGCTCCAGGTCTTCATGGCTTCCCACTGTAGTGCCGCATAACCTCTGCATTAACAAGTAGTGACCTGGTCTCATGGGAAGACCAGACACAGACACTATTTGGCTAAATAAAAGAGTGAGAAGACAGAATATCCAATCAGAATATATAGTGAGGATCAGCAACATTATCCTGACTGGCAGAGGTACAAGATTCTAAACCCCAAAGTCCTACTCAAGTTGTGCTTAGGTGTGGATAAGTCTCCTCTCTCCAAGCTCAGCCTTTCATGCATATATGTATATGAGGCTAACGGGGTTCTGCCCCCAGCTGGTCTGCTGGTCTACAGGGCCACCTGACAGAGCCCAGTGCCCCCTGCAACTCAGAGTTATGCAATCCCCATGCAACTGAGGGACCCCAACCACTGAGGGACAAGTGTGATATAGTACACCTGTCTGGCGTGAGCAGAGTACTCATCTACCACCCTCTGGAGCCTCCTTAAAGGTGTAAACTTACAGCTGTAGAACTAAAGCAAACATCAGTTACCCAGACTCCCCTGGGAGTTACATGAGCAGGCCCTTGAAACCAGCTCTGGATAGAATCCATCAAGTGCCCAGCAGAGCCTGCCTGGAGTCTTCGAGGTACACACATTCCTGGGAGAAGCCATTTGATTGCCCTGGTTGGGTCTCCCCTGGCCCAATTTGCTGTAGGTCAGAGGTCTTAGAAAATGTGAGCCAGTGCTCACTTCAGCGTCCTGAGAAGGGCCCAGGCAGGATGGGGAAATTGATGCAGGCGAACCCCACTGCTACCCAGATTGTGAAGTGAACGAGTCAGAGGCTTTAGCACTTTGGGCAAATTGTTATTTATAAAAAATTGAGGAAACAGGAGTGATTCTCCAGAAAGGGGAGGGGTTGGCTGGAAAGAACCAAGCAGGAGATCAGGTTCCTATCAAAGGAGTTTGGGTCTGTTGCAGGGCTTGGGTCCTGGTGAGGACTAGACTAGCAGAGAAGAAAACTGAGACTGGTTGTGGGGGCGGGATGGGGAGTGGATCGTGGACTGAGGGACAGGACAGGGAGAGCCCCGGAAAGTGCTGCCACTCAGAAGCAGGAGGGACCTGAGCTGCCTATAGCACCCCCCTCGCAGGTCTTTGGAAATACCGTGAATCCAGTTCTGGTAAGTAGGGCATGAACTGAGGCTGGCGATCACATGCTTTGCCCTCTGATGGGGTGGCTCAAGAACTGGGTCCATGAGCTGAGCATAAGCCTAATGAGTGTGTCAGGGGGTAGTAATGGAGGAGAT